TTTCAATCTCGCTTTAGTAGGAATAATGACTGTTTAGGCTCGTTTTTAAACATACAAAAACTACAGAAGCTATGACAAAAGTCATAAAATTAAAAGCATCCTAGAATGTGCCAATCTATAATATTCCAGAATTACATCTAAATTCTTCCATTATTGTCTTGCCTAAATAAGAGCAGCTTGTACGATGGAGACATTTATATATTGGACCAATGGGAAGAAACTTTTATTGGTAACCCCCCCCCTAAAAAAAAGAGTACTCACCTTAAACCAACCCAACCTTAGTCATGATTTTTTTTGGTTAACATAAAAAGCTTCTCCATAGTAGCGAAATTTCAGTTTCCATTGCACAATCCTTTTAGTATTATAAAACTGGCATAATATAAATACTGACAAGCTATGGTTAATTTTCATGCAAAAAAATTATATAAAAATTTAACAATAATAATTATATTATTATCATTATTATTATTAGTTTATTATTATTATTGCTACTACTAATAATAATTTATTATTATTAATAATAATAATAATAATAATAATAATAATAATGCAGAGAATTCGTAGTTTGGAAGTTAGGAGGAGGTGCGGGATTACCAAAACTGTTGTCCAGAGGGCTGAGGAAGGGTTGTTGAGGTGGTTCGGACATGTAGAGAGATTGGAGCGAAACAGAATGACTTCAAGAGTGTATCAGTCTGTAGTGGAAGGAAGGCGGGGTAGGGGTCGGCCTAGGAAAGGTTGGAGGGAGGGGGTAAAGGAGGTTTTGTGTGCGAGGGGCTTGGACTTCCAGCAGGCATGCGTGAGCGTGTTTGATAGGAGTGAATGGAGACAAATGGTTTTTAATACTTGACGTGCTGTTGGAGTGTGAGCAAAGTAACATTTATGAAGGGGTTCAGGGAAACCGGCAGGCCGGACTTGAGTCCTGGAGATGGGAAGTACAGTGCCTGCACTCTGAAGGAGGGGTGTTAATGTTGCAGTTTAAAAAATGTAGTGTAAAGCACCCTTCTAGCAAGACAGTGATGGAGTGAATGATGGTGAAAGTTTTTCTTTTTCGGGCCACCCTGCCTTGGTGGGAATCGGCCAGTGTGATAAAAAAAAATAAAAAATAATAATAATAATATTATTATTATTATGTTTACAGGGAACTTGGAAATGTGAGGCAATCAGCTTTGATCCAAGGATGAGGGTGAGTAGCTCCAATATCTTGGATAAAAAGTCTCTGATCACCAAGCAGTAAATACCTGACTGTTAGGCGACTGTTATGGGTTGCATCCTGGGGAGTATACGGAAGAGACGACACAGCTTTGAACTTAACTGAATAACAGCAATATTTAAATAGTTTAAACTATGGACCTACGGGTGTACAGGAGACTACCATTTTGGGTGAGCTACAGACGCACAGTAAACTAGTAGCTTTTGGCTACAATATCTAAAAAAATATATATAATCTATTAAAATATAATAGAAGGATAAGGAAGAAACATTAACCTGCGTCCAGGCAAGAGGTAGACCTTGATAAAAGGATCTGGTCGGGTGTCATCGTCGTCGCGGAGAGTGAAGAGTGAGCAAGCTCGCAACACCGTCACGTAGAGTATACCTGCCCGACAGTCGTAACAAACCTGTAGCTGTACTTCTCCCATCTTTACGTCACTGTTCCCTCTGGAGGTAGCCGCACCAGAATCCTGTCACCCAAAACAACTACGTCAAGTAACGTCGTCAGCGACATAAACGTGTTGAGAGCAGTGAAATAAGAGCCACACAGAAAGAATTAAGACACAAATGCAGTGTAATACGGTCATTTATTGCACCTCATCAAGTCACAAACTGATTTGTGACTTGACAAGGTTCACTGTATTGGCGAAACACAAGCTAATAAGTTTATTTAGGCACAGGTGCACATAAGTAGAATTATGATACATAGTAACATATATGTAAATTACCTAGGATAACCCCCTAAAAAAAAGGTCAGACAAAGGGACTTATTTCCACCGGCGGCCTTGTAATATCTTATTATTTAAACCGTAAAAGTTAAAACAACTAAGTAACTCAGCTGTGTGAAAAATCAGTTACAATAAAAGGAGATATGCCAGGAATAAAGTAATCTGAGTTGATAATACTGGGTGCATGACTGTAAGTTATATAAGAAATCACTCTCCACTCTTTATGTGAGCGGAAGTCCTCGGTCAAATGACCAAAAACTCCAGCTGTGGGTCAACATATCAATAAGACCCGCGTCAGGAAACACTTGTCTTGTTTACTGGCATACATTATACCTACCATCCTCAGTTTCTGTAGCTTCATCATTAGGTACCTTATAGCTCTCGTCCTGAATTGGCTCATGATAGGAGAGGCTTTGACATATGCAGACAGTCCATTTCACTCTTTAATTGCTGTATGATAAAAGGTGTTTGAAGCCTGACCACCTACTGTGGGTACTACACAATTGTGTTTACTTCCCCTAGTACCATACATGTTTTGGTTCCAAGCGTTGATATACTTGGCAGCAAGATATTCTGGACACTGCTTGTGAGCAATTTTATAAACATGATTTAACTTCAGTTGCTTTACTCTGTCTTCAACATTCAGCAAATCCAGTTGTTGAAATTCATCATGACCTATATGTTCTCTTGAACTCAAATCCAGTATGAATCTCACTATTTTCCTCTGGGTGAGTTGTAGTCTGTCGTTCAGTTTCATTGCTAATAAAGGTTAATACCTTTTCATATTTCTGCGTAATGTTTGATTTTCAAAATATATATTTAATTAAATACATAAATAACTGTCTTCACTTGTACTCACCTTGTTTCGAGAGCTCGACCGTCGGCGATTAGAGTGGGAAGTGCGGTGACGAGGTGGACTGGGAACAACCACACGACCTCCTTGGTTCTCTGCCTGATCGTGGGAACCACCTCCTCCAGATACTCCAACACCTACTTGAGATAGCACTTGAGAGGGAAGCTGGACATGAGTCAGCAGCTGAATCTAAGAATAGTGTTCGTAGTGGTGCGTCTGTTTACATACAGCAGCAGTAACAAACATTTGGCAAGTATTATAATGTCAAATATTTTGCAAGGAGGAATCTATTATGTCTGGAATGTACATGCAAACAATAGAACAATAGTAAAAACAAATATTGAGAAAAGAATTGGACTCGGTATCATCGGGCCGTATCACTTCCACTCTTTAGTTATTTTCAACTGATTCTGATTGAAGAGGTTGTTATATAAGCCAATAATATTGAAGCTAACTCCATATTAATAGTAGTTTTGCTATCGTTTACTTTCATATTATCGTGAAATTATTAAGAAGAATGAAAAGTAACTTACCACTTGAACTCCGGCGTTCTGGGGAGGATTGTGATTGTAAGGGAGAACCTCCGTGCGAGATGGAACCTACGCCCTGGAGACCTTCTTCACTCGCATGCCTTAACTCGCAGTTTGTTGGTCGTTCAACACCAGGACTCGTTTGTCGTTTGCCACGCATGTCAGGGCTGTTGCCTTGATGTCTCGACCTCGAGGTTGATCGAGCTCGGGGACTTTCCGTACTGGATGAATCCCCAGACTTGCCTTGCAATGCGACATCATTTTCTCTTTCACTGAACCGATTTTCATTAATGTAAAGATTTTCATGTGAATTATTTCGAGTTGTGTTGACCACAAGACCATCGAAGGTAGAGCGATTGCCGTTAATATCTAGAGGATCATCAGCGGGATAATCAGTTCTTCGGCGAGGGCTTTGATAGCAAGGGCTCGGGTATGTCATTGATGGGTGGGAGTACCCACCACTCCTGCTGCTAACCCCGGTCATGCGCTCCCCCGTGATCATATTGATGTCACTGAAAACCATAAAAAACGTATTCATAACATATATCACTCAATCGTTAATCAGTGTTTAGTATGTCAGGATTAAAAGAATATACTGCGGGGAGCATGTTACCTTACGTGGAGGTAGGCATCCGTAAACTCCAATTATTTCAGGGTACTTAATACAGCTGCACATACACTGTCATTACGTTCATATTTGATATACATTTTATAATTATTAAATCTAATCTTTTTTTGTACCTTTGCTATAATTTTTAGGTCATTAGCACACTGTATACGATGTTTAGTCTCAGAATATAATCTGATGGCTCAAGGAGATTTAGGTAGTTTACTGAGAGTCCTGTATGACATTCCCTATAATATACATATTCTAGTTTGAAAGTATATCTGACTTTACAGTTAGAACAAGTGAATTTATAAATGATATTTGAGCTACCAGGTTTTGTATGAAATAACTTCCAATAGTTAAACATATTAACTAAAGTAAATTTTAATTTTATATATGGATAACTTGATTTCGATAATTTTTAACAGTGTTTCCTAATATAATAACTCATATATCATAGAAAGGGAATTTAACATTACAAACATTTTTAAGAACTGTAACTAAGAAAGCCTAACACAAAATACAAACACACATCCACACACCTCCAAATTATAAACACACGAGAGACAAACCTTCGCACGACAATTTCCACCTCGACGTCATCAACGGACTGAGCCACAATGGCTTGCACCTCCTCGTAGGTGCGGTCGATCAGAGTGATACCGTTCCACTCGAGCACTAAGTCTCCTTCCTTCAGCTGGCCCAGGGCGTCAGCCACACCGCCGGGGTGAATGCGGGCTATATAGGCGCCCAGGCGACCCCTCGTCCCAGGAATTTCCTTCCCACCCACAACCTTCATACCCAGACCGTTACCTGTAGGGTGGCAATTATTGAAAAGATTAACCCTGTTAAGACCTATGTGCAACAGTTGCACGTGGGGTTTTAATCATCCGGTTTTCGGTATTTTATACTATTTTCGACAAGATTAATACGGATCAATGCAGTCAAAGTGAGATGAACCACAGAACTGATGAAGGAAAATTACCTTCAGTGTTCGGTCAGTTGAAGCCAATCTTCAAATTAGAATTAAAGTTAGAATTAAAGACATGTGCAAACTATACGACAGCTGATGAAGTGGCTAGAAAAAATGATAGGCAAAAATCTCCCATTATATTAAGAAGTACCGTCAGATGAATTGATAGCACTGCACATGGAGGTATAAGAAACCTAATTAATCTTACTATAGCCCTTTCTGTGGTGAGTACTTACAAAAATATCACATTTATTCATTATCAAACACGAAAAAAATGGATTATTTCGTTAGTCCGTGTTCATAATTTGTGGGAAAAATGAGGAAGGCGACATTGGAATCTCATTTATAAGTAGCAGCAACACAGACTTGACTAGAGAACCCCTTGAACGGGGGTACCTAGATGCTAGTGACGGACTCTAGATCTAACGAACTGATGCTAGTTAACCGAAATAGAGATATAGATATAAATGATATAACTATGGAGATATAGTTGAACTGAAAACGTAGTACGAAAGAGCAACGTGGTTTAAAGTAAAATAAAGCGCCTAGAGATGAAGAGAATAATAAAGATGATAAATAAGAGTTCCACGAGTACAGATGTTTTATCTTACCTGAAATGCGCCTATCCTTGGGGTCTCTGGTCAGCAAGTAGCGCTTCACCTTCGAGGGTCTCGTTCCGCCCACCTGTGTAACATGCCCGATTATAAATCTCAGCCATTTTATATCTGAATAAATTCTGGCCAAGGCAAATGCGTGCTTCTGAATGAAGTGGCATAAGGTGATTGGTGTCCCAGATAAAAAACTCTGTAGCCAAGGTTAATATCTACTCTCCCAATATTAGCATATGCCACAAAGCTCAATATAATCGACTTTATTTTTATAGACAGTCGATTCTACTATAGACACAAGTATACTCTATGCATTAACATCATTTACAAAATCCCTGAAGGCGCCAGCCTGTAAGACACACTCAAAATTTCATCACCATAGCTGTTTCGCTAAAGGTTTACTAACATTCTTAGGCTTTCACAATCCTTCACGGTCCTAATGAAGGAAATCACCATTATAAAAGCCTATATTCCCTGAGAAAATAGGAAATCAGAGAGGGAAGTTACAAATGGTTTAGTTCTATTGTTCCAATCATCATATCTCTATTAATTTCCATGAATATAACAGAATGTAAAGTAATGGACCCTGTGTTTACCGACAAAGAATTGCAAAGCATATCTGAGATAAGTGAAAAATGTCAGTAACCAAATTACCTAACAAGAACCTGATGTAAATGTGAGTAAAACATTAACATTTTTCAATGGAAACTTCCTAGACACTGCTTCCTCTTCTTAAGAAACTAAGTTACATGATACTTCATACACACAAAAAAAAAATACTCTAAAAAATGATTATAAAAGAGAGAATATGAAAGCTTTATATTATTCCATATAACAATAACTGATAAATGGTTATAATCGTAACCATGATTTTTAAGGACGTGAACCGGACAGGCAGCTGAAGTCCTTGGTCAGATGACCAATAGCTGCAGCTGTGGGTCATATAACTAAGACCCGAGTCAGGAAACACTCGTCCTGTTTCCTGACAAGCCTAATACCGACCATACAATGCATGTAATAAATTTTTCACTCTTTAAGCAACATAAATACATTGCAAATATACCAAGAGAGCATAGGTCTAAAAGAGTGTTTACTGTCTCATAACTTCAAATTTCAGAGATAAAGTAGTTCTAATAATGAAAATGGTTAGGATAACTAATAAATCATTTACTTCCCATTCCATTTTCAACTTAATATAAAGGATCAAATAATTAAATAGAAACGGCCCCAGTGTTTATTCCTCAAAATAAATATTTCAAGCACATCATGCTAGTGAGTATAATCTGGGGAAATGTTATGGACTCAAAATATTTTATGTTAAATATTGCTAAAATGTGATAAATGGTTTTTCTTACCACGCTAATACATCTGACATTACAAGTTACCCCGAAATGAAAAAAAAAAAAAGATTTGAGATATAATTTTATAAAAGCTGCGACAATGTCGAAGCTAAATAGAATTCGTCTTGAAAGTCACCAGCTTATTAAAAACTCGTATACACAAATAACCCGCACATAGAAGAGAGGAGCTTACGACGACGTTACGGTCCGACTTGGACCATTTACAAAGTCACACTCTTCTGTGCGAGTTATTTGTGTATCGTTCCAGTCACGGTATTGTGCATTTTTTTGTTATAAACTCACATTCACCAAACTTTAAATAAACGCGGTATTCTTATTATACATAAGTCTAAGCGTCTACATGAGTTTTTTTTTTTTTAGTAAAATATTAATTGATGTAAATCTGCAATTTTTAGGAAAATAAGTTGGTGGCTAACCAGGATGAATTTTTCTTTGTTATCACTATTAGCTAAACAATTAATTATTGTTATTATGAATATTAGCAGTCGCCATTTATGGCGACTGCTAATATTCATTATTAGCTTAATATTCATTATTAGCTTACAAGATTATGGCGAGGTAATACTTACTCTTGGCGTTCTAGGTATCTTGCCACCATTGTTGTATTCCGGTGAGTTAGCTTCTTGGTTGTTAGGAGAGCAACTACCACCTTTGGACAACCGCCCCGCGGGATGATATGTGTTATACTGATAACGTGGAGGAGAGGTGCTGTTTCTGCGTTTCCGTCCATCATGAGAGTCATCTGCTGAGCTGTATGGGTGACGGGAGGAAGAAGTGTATTCCCTGGGTGTCCTGCTGTCTGACTGGTGAACCGGAGGGCTGTTGTTGTACTGGTGGCGAGGAGGGGAGACACTCTTGGATATTCGGCCGGCGTCTGGCAGCTGATTCGACGAGGTGTTGTACTGGAGACGAGGCGGGGAGACGCTGCTCCTGGGAGAGCGTCCCAGAGCAGGCTGCTGTGAGGTATAGTCGTTCATGTAAGCACTGTGGTAGGTCGACATCTCGGGCTCAAGTGGGGAAGCGAAGCCTTCACTGAAGTGATCCTTACCTGTGTTAGCCAGAGGAAGCTTTTCATGAAGAACAAGCCACATAACAGTGGTTATAACAAGTAACAAGAAACCCACAAAATTAAAAATGAGTAACGATGTTTCAACACTTTTGTTGTTATTGATGATTACTGTCTTGATAATTGTTCTTGGCAGACCTTAGTATCATTTTATTCTTAACTTGATGTGAGAAACTTCATTTTGGCATCTCGATTACTCTATGATTTATTTAAGTTTATTTTAATGAGTTAAGTCATAATAAGTTAAACTGCTTAATAACATTAAAGGTGTTACTCTGATTACATCTGTCGTATGTGAGACCTACCTGGCAAGAGCCAATAGACAAACTTCATTACTACTGTGCTCTATGTTCCTACTTAGAGTTTAGACAATACTTGTTCATTTGTTATGACTAACTCCTTGCTAGAAATATTTCGGAAATTAGCTTGATTAAACTCAATCCAAATTAAAGTATTACTGCTGGCAGCATAAATTAGACGCTTTTATTTGTTTAGTTTTAACATTTATCAACACTAACCTTCAGGTCTTTGTGAACAGTGTCTATTTATAATGTCAATATTTGCGTTTAATTAAAAATAGATAGTCCATATTTCATTATCTGGGAAATCTCCTCAAATTTTAGTCCTTGTCAGTTTTACACTGTGCTGAAGACAAATGTAACGAAGCACTTAAATTATTTCGTGCTTAGCACACACACTGTTCAACTGCCTCCCAGCACACATAAGGGGGATTACCAACAGACCCCTGGCAGTCTTCAAGCTGGCACTGGACAAGCACCTAAAGTCAGTTCCTGATCAGCCGGGCTGTGGCTCGTACGTTGGTTTGCGTGCAGCCAGCAGCAACAGCCTGGTTGATCAGGCGCTGATCCACCAGGAGGCCTGGTCACAGACCGGGCCGCGGGGGCGTTGACCCCCGAAACTCTCTCCAGGTAAACTCCAGGTAAACACACACACACACACACACACACACACACACACACACACACACACACACACACACACACATACACACACACACACACACACACACACACACACACACACACACACACACACACACTCAATCACACACACACACACACACACACACACACACACACACACACACACACACACACACACACACACAAGCATGAATGCATACGTGCACACACGTGCACGCGCCTGTGACGAGCGGGGTTTCACAGGGGTCAGTCCTAGGACTAGTGCTGTTTCTGGAATTTTTGATCGACATAACGGAAGGAATAGACTCAGAAGTGTCCCTGTTTGCAGATGATGTGAAGTTTATACGAAGAATTCAATCGGACGAGAACCAGGCAGAACTACGAAGGGATCTGGACACACTGCAGGCCTGGTCCAGCAACTGGATCCTGGAGTTCGACCCCACCAAGTGCAAAGTCATGAAGATTGGAGAAGGGCAAAGAAGACCGCAGACGGAGTACAGTCTAAGGGGCCAGAAACTACAAACCTCACTCAAGGAAAAGGATCTTGGGGTGAGTATAACACCGGGCACATCCCCTGAGGAGCACATCAACCAAATAACTAATGCAGCATGCGGGCGCCGGGCAAACCTAAGAATAGCATTCCGACATCTCAATAAGGAATCGTTCAGGACCCTGTACATCGTGTACGTTAGGCTTATGTTGGAGTATGCAGCACCACTTTGGAAACCAAAGCTATCGAAGCAAGTAAGGAAATTAGAGAGTGCAAAAGTTTTTGCAACAAGACTAGTCCCGGAGATAAGGGACATGTCCTACGACAAGAAGTTAAGGGAAATCAACCTGATGACAGTGGAGGACGAGAGACAGGGGGCATATGATAACGACATATAAAATATTGAGAGGAATCGACAAGGTGGACAGAGAAAGGATGTTCCAGAGATGGGACACGACAACATGGGGTCATAGTTGTAAGTTGAAGACTCAGATGAATCACAGGAATGTTAGGAAGTATTTATTCAGTCACAGAGTTGTCAGGAAGTGGAATAGTCTGGGAAGTGATGTAGTGGAGGCAGGTTCCATACATAGCTTTAAGAAGAGGAATGATGAAGCTCATGGAGCAGGAAGAGTGACCTAGTAGCGACCAGTGAAGAGGCGAGGCCAGGAGCTGTGAATCGACCACTGCAACCACAACTAGGTTAGTACACGCGCGCACACATGCGCACGCAAGCACACAAGTAAGCATGGATGATTAAATACCAAAGACGGAACATCATGATCCTGGCATTGCTCCTGTAGCTTCAGATAGGCAAATACTCACACAGTAAGTTCTCGCACTCAGGAGGAGGAGGAGGACTGGAAGGCAGACACGGGATGGATTCCACATCATAAGCAAATACATAGAAATAACACCATAACAGCCCAACAACCATTGGTTGACAAAACCCCAGGGAGGAGACTTACAGACGAGACTCACTGCTCTTGTTGCCTGCCAGGATTCCCCCACTCACTTAATCCACTTCCCTTCCCCTACCCCTTACCAGTATTCTTCCACTCTCTCAACCCAAATATCCTACCCCATCTGTGTCCAGGAAACTTCTTCATTGTTATTCTACATTGCAACAGGCCTACTGGCCCATGCCGGGGGGGTAGGTGTTCCTTAAGACCAACCTCTTCCCAGCCATCAACTTCAACATTCCTCATTTAACCCTTCATGTTACTATGCTCCCTATATATACTCATGTATTCCCTGCTCAAGTAGATGTCTATGTGACTTAATAAAGCACATTGTGTGGGCGAAACGTTGTCAATAAACGATCGCCTTATACTGCATATGAGTACTTTTCTAAGAAACTAGATAATTAAACTCAAAATGAAAGGGAAATGTAATGAGCTGGGTAGAATGTTCAATGAGAATTTCACCAAGTAATCACTGAAGATGCCTAGAGAAGATGAGGAAGGGACGAGAAACAAAGACTAGAGGGAGTTATAAATGAGAGAGTGCCCCCCAAAAATTAGATACAACAGAAAGAAGCAAGACTGGAAGGATACTTCCTTGGGTTGACCAGGAGAGAGAAGCTCTGCGACCCATTATATATGTGTGTGTGTGTGTGTGTGTGTGTGTGTGTGTGTGTGTGTGTGTGTGTGTGTGTGTGTGTGTGTGTATGTGTATGTGTAGTTGATAAAAATAGGGCAACTGTCAAAGAGGTGAAAATGTGCAAATGTGACGTAGATATAAAAAGAAATACATACGCAAATACAGTAATGCATAGAAAACAGAGGGCACAGAAATGGTTAAAAGAGAAATTGGTTTAGACATGAGTTACTTGAGTACTTGAGCCTATCCTTTTCTTGATGTATATAAATGGCCACACAGACCAAATTGATTATTATATATCACTACTTGCAGACAGACTAAAACGAGTTGAATGTGTATCAGTACCTGCGCAATCAAAGAGAGGTTTTCCCTGAATCCCGTAGCCCTTTCTCCTTCTGCTTTAAAGCATTCAAGAGTCCTATACTCCTAATAGCTGTTCTTAACTCCACCAAGAGGCATAGGAACCAAAAATCGAAATCTTCTTCGAAAGAAGTCCAAGAGTTGAAGAACAGTTGTTCTCAGCATAGAACAAGACATATAGTTCAATACTTTCAATAACCTGCGTTCTGTAACCGTAAACAGGACCAATAGCTGCAGATCAACACCCTCAAAAAGGTACAGGAGCTGCTTATCAACACCCTCAAGAAACTGAGTTTATTCAGAATAGTCAAAATGTATGATTAATCGTCCGAAACTAAATTTTCCCTGTCTAAAGCATTTTACTTTAATCTGGCATCCCCAAAAAAGGGATACTTGTGGTGGTTATCCTGTTTTTTCTTCTTTCTCTTCCAAATTTAACATGCAATAACTTGAGTACAGTTTGATATCGACTTCAGACTTCCAACGATTACATATGTATTACTTAATTTGTTATATAGGAGCTTATACTTCAGTGTTTTACAAGAAAACAGAAGAAGCAACCTAATTATGAATGTATGACAGATCTATCGTAAAGTATGCAGCATAATATACAAATAACCCGCACACAGGAGAATGAAACTTATGTCGAAGTTACGGTCCAACTTGGCCAATGAACTAGGTCCATAAGTCATAAATTTCATTCTCCTATGTGGGGGTTATGTGTGTATTGTTCCAGTCACGGTATTGTGTGTTTTTATTCCTTATGAAGCATAAGCATAGGCATGGAGCTCGACCTAAAATAGTATGTTCAGAAGGTAACGTTAAAAGGTTTGCTGAGACACTAGTCAAGAATCTAGGAAAAATGTCTTATGTAGAAAGTGAACAATACAACAATGAAAAAGATTACAGCCGTCGAAAACCATAACTACGGTATTTGATGCAGCTGGATACTCGATAAGAAAAAAAGAGAAAAACTGTGTATACGAAGGGGACCCAGAACAAGGACACATCGATGTAAGTTAATTAAATCTTAAAAAGAAAAAGTTAGAGGGAGATCAAAAGAGTACTTTTTAAGTGTAAAGGTGTTGATGGCAGGAAGCGATCTGGATGACAAAGGTGTGGAAGAAAAATCCTCATACAGTTTTACGAGTAGGTATGAGAAGGTCCATGAGGCCAGAAATTGTGTGAGCGAGAAGCAGAAATAAAAGCTTAGACTCGAAACCTTCAGAAAAAAAGGTAAGAAAGACACGAGAGAGAGAGAGAGAGAGAGAGAGAGAGAGAGAGAGAGAGAGAGAGAGAGAGAGAGAGAGAGAGAGAGAGAGAGAGAGAGAGAGAGAGAAAGAGAGAGAGAGAGAGAATGGTAAAACTAGCAAGACTGGACCTGTTCTAAACCTTAATGTAGGAGATACAGGGCAAAAAAGATAATTGAGAGGCTCCAGACTAGTGGAAGAAAATATTAAGAGGAGTATGGAAGGAGAAGGAAGAGGAAAAAAAGTCAAGCGAGAAGAGAAGGGACTACACAAAAATAAAATACTGAATAATACATATGAAAACTGAGAAAAACAACGAAGGTCAAAAAATGAGACGAAGAAGCAACAAACTGGATAATGTTAGAAGGTCGAAGAGGAATTCATACGAAAGTAGAAGCGACATTGGGAAGAACAGA